CCCCCCCCCCCCGGTCCTCGCCGGTGGGGGCAGCGGGGGGGGCAACGGCGGCCTGCGCGCCGGTGAGCGGCTCGGCCTGGCGGGCTCCGAGGGAGGCCTCCCGCGGCCTGAGGGACGGGGAGGGGCGTCGCCTGAGGCAGGCTTGTGAGGGAAAATTAAAAAAAGCAGTAAAACCAGCCAAGGTGGGAGTACCCGGTGTAGGAAAAGCCAGGGAATTATAAAACGTGGTGCGTCAAGGAGTCGGTAGAAGAGGCAAGGGTGGGCTGCGGGCGACGGCTTCGAGCCTGCGTGCCTGCCGCGGGCTTCTGCCGCCTGCTCGGGGCCTGGGCTTCGGTGGAAGGTGCGGGGCTAGGCAGACTCGCTCTGGCAGCTGTGCGTGCTTGTGGCTCTCCGTTACTCCGGATGGACGGTCTGTGCTGTTCCTGATCTCGGTACCCGGCTCCTGCCGAGCCCCCGGGTAAAGCCCCCTGCGGAGCGCTGGCTCCAGGGAGTCTGCAGATTTCCTTCAGTTTCCCTTGACTGTTGTGCCTCCCATCACGCTCCTCCGCTTACTGTCCAGGGAGGTGGTGCGGATGCGCTGCAGCGTTGGCAGGGCCCAGAGGGGGAATCGAAAGCCCCTTTCACGCTTTTACAAGGTGCTTTGCTTTTACTTGCAGTTGGGACGAGGGCAGTCCCTTAGGAACAGCCAAGCTAGAACATCAGCTGCCACTTTCAAGTACTCAGTCTTCTAATGGGACCGCATAACTTCTTGCTAAAATGAAATACTGCTAATAGCGGGTTGATTTTGTTATATTTTACTCCTGAATACTGTGGAGCTCTCTATTAAGGCTCTTATTATTCCTTACCAGGTAACATGGGAGTTGTTTGGGGTTTTTTGTTTTTAATGTTTAACACTACATAGGGAAGCACACAAAACATATTTCTTAGAGCACTCGCACACCACAAGCTAGGAGATCTGGGAGGAGAGAAAGCCATCACATACTACTTTGGATGATCTCTTAATATATTTTGAAACGCTTTGCACGTATACCTTGTTTGAGTGGTATATGTTGCATCACAGCGTTATTTGGTTTTCTTCTAGCGGGGCTGTGCTGAACACTCGGTGCAATGGCCATGCAGATGCAGCTGGAAGCAAATGCAGATACATCAGCAGAGGAAGAGAGCTTTGGCCCACAGCTCATCTCTAGGTTAGAGGTAGGTAAGGAGTTAGCTCTGGAGTAAGTTTTCAAGATGTCTGCTAGTCTTTTTCCTTAAACACAAGTTGTATCTGAAAACGGTGTTGTTAAATTCTTGTGTTCTGACAAAAAACCCAGCCCGTTAACAATTATGTTTTATATTACGTTGCCTTGCTGCGTACCCTTTCCTAACACGTATCGGTCACCCCCAGCATCTATTAAACCAAACAGAGAATGACATCTTCTGCCTGTTCTATGCCATCTATATAGCTAACAGCTACGCAGACATTACGCTGGTAAAAAGATGTTCTTTTTTATACAACCGGTTTTTTTATGGTTCTTTGCATATAAGTGAATAGGGAGGTAATATGCAATATGCTGACTTGTAATAACAGAGTTTGATCCCAATCTGATGAAGCCAATTGAAGGTATTCAGCAGAAGTTAGATTAAGGTATTTGTGTCTTACCGTGTCCTTTTTTTCTCCCCTTCCTTTCAGCAATGTGGAATAAATGCAAATGATGTGAAGAAATTAGAAGAAGCTGGATTTCACACAGTTGAGGCTGTTGCTTATGCACCAAAGAAGGAGCTACTAAATATTAAGGGCATCAGTGAAGCCAAAGCTGACAAAATCTTGGTAAGGGTGTTATGGAAGTGCTTTTGCCCAAGATACTCAAGAAGTTTTATTTCTACTGGCTTAAAGGGTACTGGTGATTTTGGAAGGTCTCCATTAACGATATACTGAGAAGGGCAATAAAGATGATTAAAGGTATGACGTGACTTTTGATGAGAAGAGACAAAAACCACTAGGACCAAGAAGTGAAGAGGGAGGGACTGTCAGAAGGGTCTGTAAAAGTTGTGGAAGGTATGGAGAATATGCCCAAGATGACTATTATTTCTAGCTCAGTATTTCTTGTGATACAAAGGCTTATGATAAGCCTAAAGCAAAGAAAGTACTCTTTCATGCAGGTTGTAAGGAAGTTACGGAACTCCTTGTCCCAAGACCCAGTGGCTATCTGTCGCGTAAATTGGTTTAAAAAGGGGCTAAGTGCAATGTTTGTGGGGTAAGGCTCAGATCACGAAGCTCACTAACTAAACCCAGAGGAGCTACCAGAGAGTCAGTCCCTTGTTCCCTGATTTTTCCCTAAGCATCCACTGTTGGCAGTTGTCAGGGCAGAGGATGCTGCGTTATAACGACTGGACTGACGCAGTACAGCTGTTGTTCTGCTCTGTTTTTCTTAAGCATGTTAATTGTGTGCCTCAGATAAGTATTCCCCGTGAGACCTGGGGTTTACTTCTGGGGACTGAGTGTGAAGCCCGAGTTGTAATCTCACAGCATTTTCTAGTTCATGTGGAGTTCCTGCCAAACTAGTTCTCATTTATTGAAAGCTGACCTAGCACAATGTTTGACTCCAACACTTTTCTTACATATTTAGTCACTATTAGGAAGGCAGCATTCCTAACGGGCTGTATGCCCATCCGAAGTATTTCAAGTTTCACAGGCACAGAACTGAACTAAAAGGGTGGGAGATGAGGGGAGGAAGATTTCCATAAAATACACAAAATGGATGTTGAAGCTTTTTCTTTGATCAGAATTTCAGTTCTTCTCAGAGATACCAACTAATATATGGTCTATAAAATAAAATGCATGCATCAAATTATGTAGGTGCTTCTCCATTTCACAAAATGGAAAATTACAGTATTAATTACTAGAGGGGGTACACGAATGGGATGAACACTCCTTGCACTGCTTAGTTTGGTTTTCTTTAGGCTGAAGCAGCTAAACTGGTTCCGATGGGTTTCACCACAGCAACGGAGTTCCACCAGCGGAGGTCAGAGATCATCCAGATCACCACTGGGTCCAAAGAACTTGATAAACTTCTGCAAGGTAATGATTTTATTTCTCTTTATTGATTAGCCTTCGTTATCTGCTTTTTTTCCTATGAACGTGATCCTTGGACAAAAACACGTAAGACATACAAGTTCTGGTTGAACGAGAAAGTTCTGCTCTCTTGTATTGCAATTGATTTTCTTTTGAAAGCTGCAGAAATAGTTTTAAAACCTTTTAGTCATGATGCAATGCCCAGAGCTGTTCATTTTGGATGTTTCTAGTTTATTCTCATCTATGACATATTTCAAGAAAACAAAACCACGTATCATCTTCTCCCCATTCCTACTTGTAATCAAAAAATCAAAACAAGTGATTTCAGCTTTTCAGCGTCTTCAAAAATACACTTACCTAAACTTCTTATCTGCAACATGAACAAAGCTCAGTATGAAAACCAGTTTTTCCAGTTAGAGTTTTGAAACTTTTAACCAACGTAAGTGTTTAACTGAGTCTCTGTAAATGTTAAGACTTTATACGTGGTCTTTTTTTAAGTATGTGACCTTCTTAAAATTATTTTAGTATTATTATTATTTTCCCTTCAGGAGGAATAGAAACAGGGTCCATAACAGAGTTATTCGGGGAGTTTCGTACTGGAAAAACACAGTTGTGTCATACCCTGGCAGTAACCTGTCAAGTGAGTACTCTGCTTTATTAAAATCAAGTATTCAGACAACACAGCTTTTGGATATTTGCTAATTTGTGCACTTTTCTCAACCAATACAAACGTGATGCATGTAAACAGCTGCAAAGAACGTGAGTATTTGCAGCACCCTCGGTTGTACTTGCAGCTTTCTAGGATCTTTTGCTTCGTGCTTAATCTGCCTGCTAGGATTACCTTAGCAGCAATTACGTTTGTGATGTTTTTTGCCTGTGTTTGACATGTCCTGTAGCTTCTTTTTTCTTTTCTCCTCAGTATTTTGCCAACAAAATTTAACACGTTAGCCTTGTAGCATAATTCTAGGTCTTAAATGCAGAGAAGCGTTTGATCTCTCTTCAGGTGCTCTGGACTGCAGAGAACCTTTCTTATCACCAGGAGTGTTGAAAAGAGAGAAGAAGCTGTGTTGGGTTCCAGGAGTTTCTTTGACTAGCTGCTTTTTTTTCCCTAATGTCTCCTAAGCTTGCTTCACTTTACTTTTGTAAAAGCCTTCAGCTGGCTCTTGCTATCAAACAGTAGATCAGTTTGGAGTAAGCTTTTTTTCTATTCTTGCTTTAAACAAATAAGAGTGTTTATTACTTTCTAGAGGTTGCTATTTCATAAAATATTAGAGGCTTTGGGCTTAATTTGATCGTTTAGTTAACACCCTTATGCACCTAAACTTACCAGCTCAAAGTGAAGCACCTGTCCCCTTATGTAGGTATCAGAGATTGAAAACAGGAATCTGTCTTCTCACTTTTCCCAGATAAATGTGACTTTAATCAGAATAGCTTGGCATGTGATTTACTGTATGATACTAGTGGAGGGCATAAGGCAGTAACTGGATTATTCATTGATACTTTATTCATTCCTTTGCTTTTCCTGTAGCTTCCCATTGACCGAGGTGGTGGTGAAGGAAAAGCTATGTATATTGACACAGAAGGGACCTTCCGTCCAGAACGTCTTCTTGCTGTGGCTGAAAGGTCTGTACTTAGGGCTGAAAGTAAACTGGCATTAGTTGAAGATAGGAATACATTTACTCATGGGACAACTTAGTTAATAAGGATCACTGCGTAAATCAGCCTGTCGCTTTAAATTCACAGGGCTGTTGCAGTAAAATTCTGTCCCCAAAAAACCCCACTCAACCAGGAACCTTTCTGTATTCTAGTTGTCTGTCTGTCTACCTGCATGTTGGACCACTTCGTCAGCTGTATTTTATAAACAAAGTTTCTGGGTTTAGATATGACAGCAGCTAACATCAGTGTCCCCTGGAATGCGATGTCTTCGCTTCTTACTAGTGTCTCTTTCAAATTCAGTTTTACTGTTAGTGAAATACATTGAAAGATTTTTCTTAAATTCTGCCAATAGCACTACCTTGAAACAAAGATCCTTTTGTAAAAACATTATCGCAACAGCAGCTGGAAAATTTTTGTTAGGAAATACGAGAGCATCCACTGCCCAGCTGAAAAGCTGTTTTCTCATCTCCTGCCTCTATCTTAGAATGTTCTGACATGTTTTTTATACCAATGGGAAAGTAAAACTTAATTAACCAAATAAAAATTCTGCTGTCTACACAGAGATTCTGGTTAGGCTTAAAAGCCTGAAGTACTGGTTCGGTACACTAGAAAAAGGAGCTACTTCTGGTCTTGTGATTCTTTAGACTTTCTCAAAATTAAAACTGCTTCTGTGGGGCTTAATTCTCCGTGATTGTTGTTTCAATTAAATATCAAGGTATATCTGCAACTTCAGTAAACTTGGGTTGAAGCATTTCTTTATCTTGCAGTGCTTATCAATTGCTGAAATTGCATCAGCGTGAACAGAAAAGTAGCCCAACGCTTTGGGGAGGCATGTGAAGCATGTCATATCTGACTGAAGTCGGAGAATTTTAAGGATGCAGAATGCAATTATACAGATTGCAGTTTGGGCCTAAGCTTCGGATTAACGATTTCAGTTATATGGTAGTTTTTAAAAATATTTCCACCTAGATACTGATGAGAATTTTCATGTCAGTAAGCTGGGCGCTTTCTTCTGGAAGGAATAAGATGACAAACATTGATTGTTTCCAAGCTGCAAGCCAATATCATGCAGCAAGGCTGGGCTGATCTGAATACAGAGGCTCAGATGTTCTGCGAAGATAAAATCAGTTGATCTGTCTTCTGCTACGCTTTTTCTAGTCTGCTTTAGGTTCCTAGTTTTTCGGGCTGTGTATATGGGGTTTTTTAAAAAGTATTTTAAAAACCTTTGTGCAAATTTCCTAGCTTAAAAAGCAACTGTTCTCCTTTTTTTACCATGCGTTTACAGAAACAAGACTTAATTGCCAAGTGACTGTTTCCTTCAAGCAGCCTTCAAGTGCACTTCCAGGCCTGGCCTATCATTATACATGTTTTCTCTGAAGTTTCTTTGTTTTTACCCTTCGTCATTGCTCAGCATATATTTTTTTCATGAAGTTATTTTTTTTGCCAAGACCCCACGTGAGCTGTTAGGCAAAGCTGCCTTCCTTATGCCGTAGCCTGATTTCAGAGTATGTCTGCTTTGTACTATCACGCTGCATAGCTAACAGTCTGTATGGGGCAGAAACTTAAGTTTTAATTGGGTTTAATGAGGCTCTGCTCTGTGCCACTGCAGGCGGTCCTGCCGTTCCTTTTGCCCCATGGTGTTGGCATTGGTGACTGTCAGGCTGTAGGCTGAAGCAGAGCCGTTGCTAATGTGGCTCGCTGCAGGGCAGCGTAAATTGCTGGTGCTGGAGCAACGGAGGGGGCAAGAATGAGGGGCTGGAAGCAGAGAGGATGAAAGGGTAGGACCGCTGCTTTTTAGTAGCACCGCAGATTTTTGAAGTAAGGCCAGTATTTATGGGCCTTTCCATGACAGTAGGTAGAAAAATCAAATAAGATTTAATACCAATCCAATACGACATGCTAGCCCACAACAGAAGCTTCCTTTTCTTTATAGAGGGAGACGATCTAATCGACATACCATCCTAAATTAATGAAGTAGGGTCAAGTTATTGAAAAATAGGAAGCTGAAGATTTGGGTCAGTACCGGATTTGGATGGTTTGTTACTGAAAGGCAAAAAAATCTTTGGAAGACATTTTACGCAGGTCCTAGAGGTTAATTTGACAGATGTTCACTTTGGAAACATCTGGTATTACTATTCCTCTCCTCTCTCTGCTGCTTCTCTCTCCCCACAGCTCTCGTGTAATTGTCCCTCTGCAGGAAGTCATTTCCCTCACTTTTTCGCTACTGGAAGGGAATGTGCGCTTCCTAATCATCTGGGGACATTTCTTTCTGTAGTCTACTGATTTGCCAAGTGTTTGACTAGCACCCTTGACTTTAATCTCAAATATGTAATATTTCAGCATGGTCTTGCTTCAGAACGCTAGTCAGGATTGGCTATTATTCACCTTCAAACATAAGGTGCCAGTAGCCTAGTAAGGTTGGATTCTTTGATTTATTAATAGCTGTCATGTTCAGGTAACAAAATTAATTGGTAACTACGATTCTAAATGTGTACTGTTCAAAGCTATGCTTCGCCTAGAAGTCTAATTTCTACAGGAACTGGGGAGGGAGACGTTAGGTGTCCAGCTGTGAAAAGCAGAATATTGAAATCATAAAGAGACTTACCTTAAGTCATGTTCTTAATCTGATGTATTTTAGTATGACTTGGATCTTTCATACTATTCACTGATGAAAGTCAAATTCAGCTGTGCTAGTGTCATTAGAGTGTAAAACTGTATTGCTAGAAGTTGTGGTTCTCCAGTGAAGAACCACCTTTGACCCGGCTCTTCGGGTAGAATTTGAAAAATCAGTTCTGTGACAACAGAAGAGTTTTGCACTCTTCTCCCAGGACGTCTTACCAACTGAACCCGCACTCGTGTCCATTGATGCGTGCTTCTGCATTCGGTGTGCCACGGGTATACGTGCTCCATTTAATTTGCTTTACGTAGACATTTTAAGTGTGCCTCTCCAAAGTGCCTGTACGCTCACGCACGCAGAATGGGGAACAAATGGGAAGAGTTAGACGTTGTGTGCAGTCACAGGGCTAAAAGCTCATACTCATCCCAGAGAAGCAGTGACCCTGAGGTGGTGGAGTTCTGGATCCTGAGCTAGGTGCAAGGCATTAAGCAGGATCGCAATACTAGACTTCAGGAGAGCGGACTTTGGCCTCTTCAGGGATATGCTTGGAAGAATCCCATGGGACACAGCCTTTGAGTGAAGAGGGATGTAGGAGAGCTGGCTGATGGTCAAGGGCCATCTCCTCCAAGTTCAAGAGCGGTCCATCCCGTTGAACAGGAAATCAAGCAAAGGCAGTCAGAGGCCTACGTGGATGCACAAGGAGCTCCTGGTAAACGTAAAAAGGAGGCACAGGAGAGGTGGGAGTGGGGACAGGTGGCCCGGGAGCAATAGCAAGGCACTGTCCTAGCATGCAGAGATGGGGTTAGGAAGGCCACGGTCTGTCTGGAGTTGAACGTGGTGAGGTATGTAAAAGGTGGCAAGACAAGGTTTTAGTGTGGCCAAACATTAGAACAGGTTGCCCAGAGAGGCCATGGAGACTGCATCCTTGAAGGTGTTCAGAACCTGACGGGACAGAGTCCTGAGCAACCTGCTGCAGCTGATCCCGCTTTGAGCAGGAAGCAGAATTGGACTGCTTGATCCACAGGGAACCCTTCCGACTTCAAAGAGTCCATAATTCTGTGAAATACGCTGTAGTGTGAAATGAAAAATGAGAACAAACGATGTATGTTCTCTCTCGTTAGAAAAAATATTGCTACATTTCAGATCCAAGGAGGATAATCAACTGGTTCTCCAAATTCTAAGGGATTTCTCAAAGTGCCGTATAAATAATTTAAATGCAAGATGTTGAATGTCCCTATCTTTCTTTTTTTATTTTGGTAGTAAAACGCTGACAGATATTGCAGGTGGAGGGCTGTTTATCACTGGTTTTCATTAGCAATATGCTGCTTTCAGAGTATTCTGTTCCAGAATGGTAGCTTTCCTTGTCTGTGCTATTATTTTGAGGAAAATGGTGTTCTACTTTACTATCGTCCCTAGGCAGGAAAATATTCTTTAAAAATGGTTTCTGATCATTCTGTTCTCTTTTCATCACCAAGTTGTGTTGCATTTTTTGCTGCCCGTTTTTATCTCTAAGAGTCCCAGGAATGTGAGTTTTTATTCTAGTCTTTAGGTTAGCAGGTTACCCTGCTAGATGACTCCTGTTGATGCAGCTGTCACTTAAAGATTTTTATTTTTTTTTCTCCAGGTATGGCTTGTCTGGCAGTGATGTCCTAGATAACGTGGCATATGCGCGAGGTTTTAACACGGATCACCAGACCCAGCTGCTGTATCAGGCATCCGCTATGATGGCTGAATCACGGTAATACGGCTGATTTAGGTGGAGTGGTTTTTTTGTTCCGATACATATTTGTATTATAAAATTAGACAGTGAACAAGTGCAAGGGAAGTATAGATTACAAAACTGTGAAATGTCGAAGTAAACGTTTGCTTCAGAAGTTAACTTTTTTTGAAATGTGCTTCTTTCTTCATTGCTGAGCTCCATCAGGTCAGGTTTTGTTATCCTCAAACTGGATTACACTTTGGCGTATGCAGGTAACGAGCCTGGTGTATCAGCAGTCCGTGGGGAGTCCATAGCTCTTGCTGTTGAAATGTTGGATGCCAGCGACTGACTTGAACGGCAACAACGAATGTTACTTTACAAAGAACAAGTACCAGCCTGAGAAACAATCTTAAATATCAGTTTATAATTGCTTTCAGAAATAAAGTGTTGATTTAGAGCATGCCAAGGATCGAAGAAACCTGTGCAGACAGCTTTAGTTTGAAACGAAGGTTTATGGACCCCTTTAGGGAGGGGGGGGTGGTATGAGGCGTATAGGAACTGCCCACAGAATATCTGTTGTGTCAAAACATTACATTCTGGGCTGGTTTGTAGGAGTACGATGAATCTAAGTTTCTAATCGGGCAGCAACTTTCTTTGGCTTTACTGGGGTTTATTGTATAGTTAGTAATCTGAACATTACAGATCAAGTCAGTGTTATTAAAAAAAAAGTAATTCTGCAAACGGGCAGGTTGAGAGGAGCTTACAGCCACACCCGTATGCAGCCTTACAATTTGCTGGGTGCTGTCACACGCCGGTGGAGGCATTATCCGTGCCTGGAAATGTTTATGAGAACCTTGCACTTCATCTTTTCCAGATATGCGCTGCTGATAGTGGACAGTGCCACAGCCCTTTATCGGACAGATTACTCAGGAAGAGGTGAGCTGTCAGCTAGACAGATGCATCTGGCCAGATTTCTGCGCATGCTGCTTCGACTTGCAGATGAGGTAAGCTATGAACCTTGCTTTATTCTCCAAAGGACTGGTGATCAGTTTTCTGTCTCTTTTAAAGCTTAGCAATTTTGTACAAATGGCTTTCTGCCCGCTCAGTGTCTGCTTCCGTTTTGTTTTGAGAGGGATGATGAGGGGTTATGGACAGCAGAGAGGACAGCAGAAGTGTGTGTGTGTGTGTGTGTCCCCTCCCCTCTTTGTTCAGACTGTGGAAAATAAATGGGTTTTGAGTTGTTGCTTTTCTCCTTGCAGTTTGGCGTGGCAGTTGTGATCACTAACCAAGTGGTAGCACAAGTAGATGGAGCAGCCATGTTTGCTGCAGATCCCAAAAAACCTATTGGAGGAAACATCATAGCACACGCTTCCACCACGAGGTGAGAGCACAGATTACCATCCCGTTAGCCTTGTTTTGGAAGGTTTTGTGAAGCTAGGTAATTACCCAGAACTTCTTGGTTTCCACATAGTCTGTCAATGGCAAGCCCAGCCTGCTTCTCAACACATGATGCTGCTCTGAGCACTCGTTAATCTGCATTAAAATCAACACGTTTTCAGCAGTTCTTACAGCTCCGCAGCGGGCTGTATTCATGGACTGACATAACATTGTCCTGATTATGATAACGATTTACTGAAAGTAGGCTATACGCCCTTACCTGTCTTGTTTCCTTCTCCCTATTAGACTGTATCTGCGAAAAGGCCGAGGCGAAACCAGAATCTGTAAAATCTATGACTCTCCTTGCCTTCCTGAGGCTGAAGCGATGTTTGCTATTAACGCTGACGGAGTGGGAGACGCTAAAGACTGAAGCCTCCGTTTCGTTTCCCGTGTAACCCAAGACTGGGTGTCCGTAAAAGGCTCCTTTCTTTGTGGCACCTTACAGACGCTTTCCCAACGCAGCCGCCGTGCAAACGCTGGCAGAGGAATCTCTTGTATTTCAGCAGAGAAGTCCCTCAGGTGAATACACTTTGAGACACATCTAGAGGTCTTGCTTGGAAGAGATCTGCCCTCTTGGGCTTTAGTCACATGTTAGATTAACGTGGTTCCTTGAGAACCTTTTCAGAGGACCGTAGCCTTCGTATTTTCCTTGCGGCTGTTGCTCCAGCTGGATTCTACTGGTGGACATAGCGCAGTAAAATCTAAGAGTATGTGGCCATAGTTCATAACTTGGTGAATTTGAAGTAGTGTCGATGGGTTTGTCAAGTAAGAAAAGTGGTGACTTAAATACTTAACGGATTGCTTTAGTTATAAAATAAAGCAGAATGGCATTCCACAGTAAGAACTTGAGGCTATTGCTGGGATTGATGATGATCACGATCCGTATTCTTTCTGTTAATCTCGTTTTGGATGCTGCAACAGGCTGGGTGTGGGGACCTGTCAAGTTGCCTGTCAGTTACATTTTTGTATTTCATTCATTCTCTGTGGAAATCTGCTTTTAATAAAAAGGACCATGAAAATACTGACGACGTGACAGGTTTCTGGGATTCAGCCAGGTGTTAATTCAGGCCGAGGCATTTTTTATCTGCAGGTAGGAAGAAGATGCGTAAATCTTCAAGGAATCTCAGTCTGGATTTTTTTTTTTTTCTCCTAACGCTAGCACAATGCATCATCTCCGTGATTTGGGATGTGCAGTGCAGCTCTGCTGTAAGTGCCCTGTAGATGACTTTTAATAGTTTTTGAAGTTAAAAAGGTTCTTTTGTATTATGCAATATTTTTATATAAGCTCTGCTATTGTGAACTACTCTAAATTTGATTAAAGAGAAGACTATCGTAGCGGTGGCTGGCAGCAAAAAATATTTTCCTCGTTCTTTTTCTCTGGCACCGTTTTTCTGAGACAAATAATGAGGAAGGCATGCCGTGGATCCAGCCGCCTCCCGCAGGCTCGCAGGCAGGAGCTGCATCTCGCCAGATACAGAAATACTTGTGCTACGTCGACTCCGAAGGGGTGCCCCTTTGCCATGTTTTCTTTAATGTAACTGCGTGTAATGCGTTTTCAGTTGCCTCTAATATAAAATACAACATTAAAATCTTATTTCAAATTGCAGATGAGGTTTAAATGATCTGAATACGAACTTTTAACATGCTCAAAAATTGCACAAGGACCCGAAGGTGAGAAGCGCTCCCTCCGTGCTGTCCGTTAGCTCAACAGCTTCTCGGGTCAGCAGGCACCCTGGAGAGCAACGGTGTGGCTTACGGAATTGCGCTCGTGGCCCTTCGTCCTAAGTTTTACAAATACGGTCGGTTATTTCATATGAAGGCTCGAAAGTACGCAGCCTGCAGCTTTGGCGTGGTGTCCGACAGCCAACCGTGCTGTGGGGCTGTTGGCTTCGTGTTTTAAGCCCCACTGTGTAAACGTGCTTATGTATCACGTGGCGTCGTTTAGGTATAAAGGACACGGGGGGGGCGGACAATGGAACGGTTTGGTTTATTGCTTTTGGCTACACTGAAATTCAAGATGTCAGGTTTATTTTCTGCTCTGTTGCTTCTCTTCGGCGTCCTTTGCAGAGAGGGAGTTTTGCCATGCCTACATCGTAGTTCTCTGCTGTTTGTATCTCTGAATTATACAGCGTTAACATACAATCCAATAGCAACTTTTTTTTTTCTCCTTTTCAAAGCCTGCTTAGGACTTTGAACAACTAAAATTACATCTGAAGTCCTCCCTGTTCATGTAACGCTCGGCATGGAAACCGATTTTTCTAACACCTGCCGTACTGCTCCTAGCTAGCGGAAAGGTTGCTTAGATTTGATTGGGAAAGCAAAGGTGAAGGAACTAGGAAATATTTGTTCCTCTTCTCCAAGCTCTTACACGGCTCAGGCTCTGAACGCGGGGGGATTTTGGGGGTTTTGTTTCCTATAAACACAAGAACCTTTCTCGAAAGATCTTTCTCAAGTCATCTTATGTCAACCCTCCAGCAGCTGCACAGGCAAGTATTTCTACGGAGGGTTTAAGTTGCTTATGACACAGTGCTATGAAACGCAAATTAAATAAGCTTATTGTCAACATTGCTTCAACCTCGAGGAGGCATAATTAATATTCCTCTAGTAAACATTGTCCTGCCCTCTCCTCGAAATACTTCTCCTAATGTTTCCCCACAAGTTCCTCTCAAGGCAGCACAAGATGATTAGAAACCATATTCACTTTTAAATTCTGAAGTGTGTTTGCACAATCGGCTGGCCGATGCTCATCCAGCCAAGTTTTGCCACGTTTGCACCCGCGTCCAGAGGGAAACGCGTACAGAAATCCGTGCGTTACTCCGAACTGCTAATGCCCGTACCGGAGCACAGCGGAGAGCGGTTTGATTAATTAAAACGCCCCAGGCAGAGCCTGTAGCGTTGTGTTTCCACGTTTCCCTCGGGAGCTGCATCGGTCTCCCGACAGCCGTCTGCTTTGCTGCCGGGACCGGCCGCCGCGCCTTCAGCAGCGCACCAGTCGCGCTGGCCTGGACTCCCGCAGAGCCGGCGATGCCATCGGCTACGCAACCCGCGGTTTGGGCGCAAGCGAAACCCCCCGTGATACCAAGCGCAGCGGCCGCGAGGAGCGAAACGAGGCTCGCCGGTGGAAGGAAAGGGCGCGAGCGCAGCGGCGTGTCAAGCAATATTCCCGTCTTTTCTTTAGGAGAGACCGGCCCCACCTCGTAACCACGCGTCCCGCTCTGCGGGCGGGAGCTGGCTGCCTGCGTGGCCCTGCGTGGGGTCAGTGCCGTTTTCCCAACTACCCAGCTTCGGAAGCAAATGCAGAATTTTTGCAGCTGTGGCCATGGTGGTGCAAGTGCAAAGCGCTGCTCGGTGGCTCCCCTTCTCCCTTTTTGTTGGCTTTGCAAATACACAAACCCGCTGTGTGGCAGCAGCGCTTCCCGGGACCTGTTTTTCATTTTGGGGAGGGATCTTTGTTCAAGGGCACAACCCGGACCGAAAGCAATCAGATCTCTGCGTACGGTTTCTGTTGTCTCGGGTCAATTCACCCGGTGCCTCGGTTTCCCCACCGAGACCGAGGGTGCAGCACCAGCCTTACACGGTGGCCTCGTACAGCCCGCGTCGCTCTAGCCAGGGAGCAGGAACCTAACCTGAGGCAGGAGTGCCCGAAGCCTAAGGTAACGCTCGCTTATTTTCCCTGCATAACTTCAGTTAATTAAACCACGCAGACTTGGACTTGAGCGTAGCGTGGTGCTGCTGGCCTTGGCCAAGAGCGCGTGTTGGTCTTGGCTGCGGCGCTGCTCCTCCTCGGATGCGTGCGTGCGCTATTGAGCCGCAGCGTTCATGCTCCGACCTCGCTGTGGATGGTGAAGGGAAGCAGATTGTCGGGTCCCGCAGCGAGCGCAGCAACACAGCCTTTATTTTCAGGAGAAATTTTAATATATAAATCGGTTTCTCTGTGCCATGTCGTTCTTTGCTGTCTCGCTCAAGTGGGCCGCGTCCTCTTCCAGGAAAGGCAGAAAATGCCTGCGTAACCCAGCCACGCTCTGGGGCTTTAAACAAGCTTCGGAGCACTTGGTATTTGTTTGGCCGATCGTTAAATACAAGACACGCAGGCGGTTTTAATAACCGTAACCTTGAGGCTTCAACCGAGTAAAGAAGAAAAGTGAACCGGAGGGAACGCCGCAGCTTAGTTACCTCCGGGACGCTGAGAACGCCGCACCGGCAGGTGCCAGCCACG